TTATATTTTAATAGGAACTATGAATGATATCTTTTGAATGATACATATTTAGTACTATGTGGCATCTGTAGAAAGTATATCAGATTTTTTGCTATAGTTTGTCATAAAAGGGAACACTTATAATCCTCCAGTGGTTCTCAACCTTCCTAATGCCGCGACCCTTTAATACAGTTCCTCGAGTTGTGGTGATCCTCCAATCATAAAAATTTTTTTTTAATCATTTTATTAGGGGCTCATACAACTCATCACACTCCATACATACATCAATTCTGTAAAGCACATTTGTGCATTCATTGCCCTCATCATTCTCAAAACATTTGCTCTCCGTTTAAGCCCCTGGCATCAGCTCCTTATTTTTACCTCCTATCTCCCTGCTCTCCCCTTCCCATAAAATTATTTTTGTTGCTACTTTATAACTGTAATTTTGCTACTGTTATGAATCGGGCGACCCCTGTGAAAGGGTCATTTGACCCCCAAAGGGGTTGCGACCCACAGGTTGAGAACCGCTGTTCTAGGCTATTTTAGCATCTCTGGCCACAGGTAGAAATAATAAAGGTCACTTGTGTTCTCAGTCTGTTTGGTAGCAGCTGATACTTTGTGATCTTGGAAAGACTGGAGGAGTGGGCAAAGATAGTATAATGTACTTTATCAGGGTCTCTGAACAATGTCTTGGGAGGTTAAAACAAAAAAACCAAACTCACTGCCATCAAGTTGATTCCGACTCATATCCACCCGTTAGGGCAGGATAGAACTGCCCCTGTGGGTTGCTGAGACTAACTCTTTATGGGAGTAAAGCTTCATCTTTATTCCACAGAGCAGCTGGTTGGTTTCAAACTAATGACCTTGCAGTTAGCAGCCCAATTTGTAACTACTACACCTTGGGAGGTGGTGTGGGGAAATTTATGTTCTACTTTTCCTGTTTGATGGCTTTAATGTTAAAAAGACAGTAGTTTGACAATAAAAGGATTATTGAAGTTAAAGGGATTATTGCACAGGGCAAAATGAGGAAGTGCTTTTTAAAAAGGCTGCTTTAAGGTATGGAAAGTAGGCTTTTTTTAAACCTAGGTTATAGAGAAAAGGGATTCAAAGATGACTCCAAAGCTTTTTCATTTAAGCATCTGGAAAAATGTAGAAAAGTAGGCTTGGGTGTGTATCAGAGAAAAGGTCAGATGCTCAGCTTTAGACCTGGAAATCTCTAGGGACATACTGACACGTGCGGGAATATGATCAGTGAGCAATTTATCAGAGTGTGGAATTCAAGTGGAAAGTTAGGTTGAGTCATCAATATGTAAAACCAAAAGCCTGTTGCCATCAAATCAATTCCAACCTATAGAAGGTTTTTAAGACTGTACATCTGTACAGGAGCAAGTAACTTCATCTTTCTCCTGTGGAGCATCTGATGGATTTGAATTGTCAACTTGGCAGTGGTCCAGCACAGCCCAGAGCTGTCTGAGAGCAACAAACTCCTCAGTAGGGATACTAAAGACAGGAGGCCTCGCACTAAACCCAGAGCACTCCAGTGAGATGATTAAGAATTAGCAAAGGACACTGAGAAAGAGCAGCTGAGATGCAAATCAGAAATCCCCGTGT